GATTCACTTTAAAATAGCATAAACCAAAAATCTATGGGTGCAAAAATGCTATTTCAGGTGAAAAGAAAAAAAAATGCTACATTTTATTGTCACAACTGAGGTTAACGTTTTCTTTTCTGAAACTGAAAAATGTGGTACAGATATTCAGGTCTATGAATTCAGTTTTGCACAAGGTCGTGTGTGTGTGTGTGTGTGTGTATGTGTGAGAATATGCTCTGTGACTCTTGGCCTGAAACACAAACATATCAGAGGCCACCCTCTGCCCTGATAATCCTTTCAGATAGAGGTGATACACACACACTAAAGAGAGGTAATTAATAGTGCCACAGAGCAGCTCTATGCACAGAGAATCGGATGAAGGAGGGGTCGCCCTGCCGTCTTTTTCTTTTTTTCCCTCCTGTCAGTCTTCCTCCCTTTTTACCGGCACATTCGAGCACAAGTGTGATAACAGAAGCTCAAGGTCAGGGGAGGGGGGCACAGTGTAGGTGTGACGGTGGGGATAGTCTTCCTAAACACCAATTTGCATGAGATATCAGCAAGAATGAAAAAATGTAGAGAAAGAAAAAAAGATGGATAGTGAAGGTTCAGTATAGAAGAGCAGAGAGAGAAAGAGGTTGAAGGACAAAGAGATGAAAGAACAACATAAAGATTAGAAGGTATGGAGTAAGAAGGAGCAGAAGTTTAAAAGCAGGAATGTGGAAAACTGGTTAAATGGAAGATAATGAATTTTCCAAGTATACAGGGGGAAAAAAAGAGAGAAACCCCTAAATAATCCAAAAACTCAAAGAAACGTACATCTTTCTTTTGAGTTGTCATCACTGGTTGCACATGACAACAAAGAAACCAGTATAGCCCAGTTTGTGAACAAATGACTTGTATGAGATGAGTCTTTTTAAACGAATCAGTTATAAAGATGTTGGATCTAATGAGAGATCTGTTTGAACTCGTCTAGGGACTCAGCTGGAGTTGATCCTGACTCGCTGGAACACAAGTCTTTGATTTTGCCATGCTGATGCTTAACTCAAAAATGTAAAAACTGTGTACTGTTATGTGTGCTTAAGTAATTATCAAATGGTTGTTCATATGGGAGCAAGTAGAAAAGAGATATACTACTGTTCAAAGGTTTGGGGTTGGTAAGGTTTTTTTTAAATGTATGTAATATTTATAGAATATTATAGATTAGTTTTTTTTAAGAAATGTCTTGCGCTCACCCATTTGATTGACTTTTTAAAAAAAATATTACTACAATTTATTAAAGGATTAGTTGATAATTAGCTGATAATTTACTCACCCCCATACCATCCAAGATGTCCATGTCTTTCTTTCTTCAGTCGAAAAGATTTTGATGAAAACATTCCAGGATTTTCTCCATATAATGGACTTCATTGGGAACCAAACGGTTCAAGGTCCAAACGAGAGTTTCAGTGCAGCTTCAAAGGATTTTAAACGACACCAGACAATGAATAAGGGCGTTATCTAGCGAAACGATCGGTCGTTTCAAAAATAAATAAAAAAGTTTAAGTTTTATAAGCACAAATGCTCACCTTGCTCTGTTCTGTGTTGCGCGCTCGTGACTCTCCTGTTCGAACTCGTTCATGAAAATGAACAAATCTTTTTCCGAGTCATGACACGAAGGGTCTTAGATAAGACCCTTATTCATCGTCTGGTGTCGTTTAAAGCCCCTTTAAGCTTCACTGAAACTCTCATTTGGACCCTGAACCGTTTGGTTCCCATTGAAGTCTATTAAATGGAGAAAATCCTGGAATGTTTTCATCAAAAACCTTCATTTTTTTTCGACTGAAGAAAGAAAGACATGGACATCTTGGAAGTAAATTATTAGCTAAAGTTTTTTAAAAAGTGAACTACTCCTTTTAATATATTAAAACTGGTTTCTATTTTAATATATTTTGAATGTGTAATTTATTCCTGTGATCTTCATGATCCTTTAGAAATCATTCTAGTATGCTGATTTGGTGCTCGAGAAATATTTCTTAACATTGTCAATGTTGAAAACCATTATGCTGCTTAATATTTTTGTGAAAACCATGATATATCTTTCACTTTAAAATAGTATTACCAAATCTGAGGGGTAATTTTTATTTTTTATGTTTTAATATCTTTTGTTCTGTTGAAGGTTCAAAAGAACTCCATTTATTTTAAATAGAAACGTTTAGCATTATAAATGTTTTACTGTCACTTTTAATCAATTTAGCAATCATCTGAATAAAAGTATTACTTTTTTTTTTTTACAAAAAATTTTTTAAAAAATCATAGGCTACTGACCTCAAACTTTTGAACTTTATATGTAGTCTACATTCACATTACTTTCTGAGTTTTTTTGGTGGTGTTCTCCTCAGGGTTACAATTTTCAAAAAGAAAAACGTATGTATCCAAATAATGGTATTTCTTTATTCATTAGCATTTTTATTCATAAAAGGCTAATAATGAATTAAGGAACTGCTTTGTGGAATCGAAATTAAAATGAAAACCAATAATCCCCCAACCCCCCCTTAATTTTAGCATCCACCAGGCAATCCATCGCTTGGAAAAGTAACAGCATACATAGCCAAATGTGTTGTGGTGTCATTTATGTCCATCGCACATACAGTACAGGACGAGTTACACTGAAGTATAATACTTACAGAAAAGGGTTTTACCAAAACTCTGCTTGAGCAATGGTGATGCTTGATTGGCAAATATCACTAATAATAAAGGCCAGTGGAAGGCAAACCGTGCCGTGAGTTCGGGGGGTTAGAGAGAGTGAGTGAGCGACGGAGAGAGAGAAGGGTGGGTGTCTGGGGGGTAACCGGTGGTGTCTTTGTGATGGAGATGCAGCAGTCTCCAGCGCTGAGCTGATAATGACCAACGGTTCTAATAGCATTCACCCCTCCACCCTTTAGCCACTCAAGCGGAAAACGGACAGAAAGGAAGAGGGAGAGTGTGTGGAACGGAGGAAGATATGTTTAAAATATGACGTAGTGGGACCGCGTGTGTCCTGGCTTATTGAAAATGCGTGTATATGAGTGTGTGTAGGTCTCGACGCCCCCTTGAGGAGACATTAAAAGACAATATGTGTGTAGTTTTCGGGCACGACGCACACACGCGCGCACAAACATGCTCGCACCAGTCAGCTTACCCTCTTTATCGTGCTGTATTTACGGAGGGCGATGGAGCGTGAAACGCCTTTGGGCTCCCCGGGACCAGATGGAGAAACACACACACATACACACACTCCAAAGGCGGCCTTATCACCAGCGCATTACTGGGATTTGTTGATACCCTCGGTAATCACTCCCTTATATCACCTCAAAGAAAAGAAAAATATACAGATTATATGAATGTCTGTGAGAAAGAGTGGGAGGAGGAGACAGAGTGGATGATTGAGGAAAGAGAGAGTGAATGGGGGTCATCATTCACTAGCGAGATGGGAAATGTAAGTGAGGTTTATAATAACAGAACAGAGTGAAAGGAATTGAGTGAAGTAGAGGAATATAACGCAGGTAGTCCTGACATACACACGCTCACAAAGGGCACAGCTGAGAGGCCGAGGTGCATTCACACACTTGACATGAGTGAAGTTGTATTTTTGAGTGTGTTTAGTGAGTGTTCTTGTTGTGGCTGTGCCCAAATTCATGTCACCCTAATTGGAGGTTTCTTAACCTGACTTCTTGTTAGCTTGTCACACCGTAGATGCTTTTGTTACAAAGGGTTTGTTATGAGCATAGTAGAGCTGCTCTTTTCCACAAAAGGAAAGCATAAGGCCGTGTGTCCACCAAAGCGTTTTTCCACGCGCCTGGCGTATGTTTTCAATTGTTTTCAATGGGAGTGCTGCGTTTTTTTAAACGGCATAAGCGTACCAATCACAGTGGAGGAGGGGCGGGACTAATACCACACCGACCGACTGTCACAACATTCAACTGCTGCGGATATTCTGCATCATAGCAACGAAACGTCTCAACGGAAAAAACGTTGCGCTGCCAAAACGCTCTCAACCGCCCAAAGCACGGCGTCTTCAGCAGAGGGTCTAGCGTTTTCAGCTGGCTAAAAACGTAGTTTAACATTTTTGAACAAAGACAAAGTTGAACATTTTTCAACTCCCAGCGACCAGTAAAAACGCTGGGCGCTCGGCGCTTCAGCGTGAAAAAAATGCTCAGCGCCTCGGTACGCTCATGGCGTTTAAAAAACGCGGCACTCCCATTGAAAACAATTGAAAACATACGCCAGGCGCGTGGAAAAACGCTTTGGTGGACAGTACACACGGCCTAAAGTGACCAGGGATTGTCAAAAATGAACAAAAGCGAACTATAATGTACAGTATATTAGCAAAATTGTCTGTTTGACCCGTTCATTGTTGGGGAAAAAGCAGGGATGGTTTTGCAACACAGGAGTAAATAATGAGTAAATAATGACAGAATGCTTATTTTTCTGTTAATTATCCCTTTCTATCAGTGGTTCTCAACCAGGGGGTCTCGGAAAACTTTCAAGAGGGCCTCAAGATGACTTAAAATGATTTCAAATGTGTTTAATTGCAAAATAAGCTTAAAAAAATACAGTTTTCCATTTCTCTTTGAAGAACCAGGGTTCCCTCTGCGATGAGTGTGATTTCTAGACCAGGAAAAGTCAAGTAAATTAATAAAATATAATGTGAATGATTATTTTTTATAATGAATATAGATTTTTTCTAGTAATGGCAATCTTGAAATTGTGAGAACATAAATATGGCAAAATTGTTCTGAAAAAATAAACAAAGGAAATGTTGTGGAAAATGGGCGTCCTTGGTGTCTATACGTTTGAGAACCATTATTTGAAATTGTACAATACTGAGTGTGAATGAAGGAATGTCTTCACTGTATTTCTTTTGACAGACTGTAAATACAAGAGAGTACTTCGGTGCACTTTGTCAGTGGAGGCAGTCAATTTCTATTTTAAAGATTTTGGCAGTGTCATTATTTTGGTAATTTGGTAATCATTCTCCCTTTGCTCTGTTTGTTTCTCTGTAGACCACTTCGGGACCTCTCAACAAGTCCAGTGATCCAGAGGCCTGCAGGAAACCTGCCTACTGTTATAACTGCTCTAAGAGAGGACACTTTGGGCATGTAAGTGGATTGGCCTCATCCATGGGCATCACATGAGTGTGCTGATGTTGTGATGTCACTTTTGCTTTCTGCAATGGATGACAACTATAACAACCCCTCATATATGTATACAAAACATATGGAAATATTAACTTTAATTTTAAACTTTAAAAAAAATATTAACATACTTTTAAAATTCTTGACAAAAAAATCAATCTGATTGTACAAATCTTTTTGGCATTATTTGATCTACATATACAACATGCTAATGCTCTGCTAACAAAATTAAAACTAAAGTATACAGTGTGTGAATAGTTATTACATTTTTTTTTTCCTAAGCACATTTTAATAATTCCAAACCACATCAATCTAATATAAATTGCAGAATTAAGCAATAACAAAAGGACAAGAAAAGTTTATTGGGGCAGCAGCATCACCTATAAAAGTGACGAGAAGAAGAGATATTAACATGACATGAAATTTTCACTTTCAGTGTAAACCGAGCTTTGGTTATCTTTCTCTGCCTTTGAGAAAATGAAAGCTCAGACGGGCTGATCTTGAATATCCCCTGTATGACGTGAAAGGTTACCTCCACTTTTGGCTCGCCCATGAAAAATTTGGCTAGCCCATGAGAAAATGAGCTAAGAAGTCGAGATTTCATGGCTTGCAAACGAGCGAAGCATGGCAGTTGATCCGTGTTTGGATGTACAAATGAACACAAAAGGATTTTTTAGTTACTTCATCCGAATCTCTGAAGAAACAATGGGTTAAATTTATTTTCTTTAAATGCGCAGACATAACTTTCCAAAGTTTTTTATAGTCCAAAACATTTCACCGACTGTTTCCTCATCTTTCCTCGATGAACGTCTGAAAATAAATCGATTTGAATAATAATGTGTAATTGTTCAAGTTCAGACATGTAATCTTTCTCTGAAAATCATTCAATACTGTTTATGCATAAGTCAAGCCACTGACTAAAATATCAACTTCACATCGTCTCTTTTAGTAGGATGAAAATAATCTTATTTAAATTGTGAAAAAATTATACAGAAAGCGATCAAAGAACAATCTTTACACACAGAGTGAGTTTATCTGGACAACTCAATGATGCACAATGAAGCTCTTACTGTATGTACATCATTGTGTGTGCATTGGTGAAAGCATTATAGAGAGTGCATAGACTAAGATCTTCAATCTCACGATTAACAGACTGTCATCTGCTTGCTCAATGCTCATTATGACAACATTTTATGTGATGGGAATAGATATAACTACTTTCTGTGCTGCTTCGGCCATGACTATAGCATTTGGCTCGCACGTCCGTTTTTAAGGAAGTGGGGTTGTGGTGGAAGTGACGTATATGCCGTAAAGCATTCGAATTTTGTAGTTCTCTTTGTCCGAAACCCGAAGTTTAAAAGTAAGATTAAAAACGCTACAGACCCTGTCAGGCTATGGCAGACGTGTCATTCAACCCATTGTAAGTCGATGTACCATCACAAGAGACTTGGAAATATATTATGAAGGTTGAAGAGTTCCCTGGTGTTACTTTAAATATATAATCAAATAGACAAGAAGTTTGTGTGTGTTTTCTGCAGGAATGCTCGCAGAGGAGAATGTATAACGGGACGTATCCCACCCTGCCCTTGATTACTTATTATGACACAACAAAGGACATCAATTGTCGGGAGAACAGACTAAAAAAGAAGGCCAGAGGTTTGTTGGAATCTTTCGGATAAGTTGAATTGATAGACACTGATCAACCTAAAGATATAAGGACATGCGTTTCTCTTACAGATCTTAAGGATGCCGGATTGCTTACCACCGATGGAGGCGGTTTTACATCTACCCCTCAACCGCCCAGGAAGAAACAAAAAACCAGCCACAAACAGTCTCCGTACCCACACAACACTCACACGAACAACCAGCACACACCGAAGCGACGCATCGCACACACGCCCAAACATCACCAACACTTGAGTGTCAAGCAGAACTCACAAACACCAGGGAGCCACGGCAAAGGCAAGTTTATACCACAACAGCAAAGCCAGAAGGAAGCCAAAAAGAAGAACAAGAAAAAATCTTCAGTTATAGTTTTAGATGAAGATGCAGACTTTCCTAGAGGGGGCAAAAAGGGCCCTCACGGGACAGGGTTTTTTTCGTCTCCTCGGAAATTCAATATGAAGCTGAAAAAGGCCTTTGAAATAGAAAAGAACAATAAAAAGAAAACGGAAACAAAAACGAAAAAGAAGGAGAGGAAATTGAAAAAGAGACAGAAAAAAGCAGCAAACGATTCTTCCGTGTATCCATCTGATGAAAACCTTTTTCAGATTAAACAAAGAAAGGGTAAAAAACGTTCCTAAAAACGCCAGAGTATGTGAACCGGACTCACCAATGCTGGCTTTTTCAGGATGGCTGGTTGCTTTTGGTACGTCGTCTTCCATCCACGTTTTCATGTACAGTATTAGAGCTTTTTTAGGATAACTAATAAACGCGAATCAGACCCTCTTGCCCAAATACAATTAAAGTGCTGTTGAATATTGTGAATGTAAAATGGATCACATCTCATTTTAAAGGTTAAATAAATAGGGAAAACAAATGAATATTGAAATTGCTAATTCACTGTCAGTGTTTGGTGCGTTTCACTTTCACAGAATTGTAAAAGAATTATTAACCGCTTGGCTGCATTACACAATGTTTTTCATGTACTAAACTGACATAAGAAATAAAAAGTGCTTAGTTTCGATTAGATATAGCAAACATCATATAGTTTTTTTAGTGATACGTGTCTGCTTGTACATGATGAGTTCTCTTATTTTATGAACTTGCAGAGTTCTGTAACATCATGATTAAATTAAAGTTTGTTTGTTTGTTTTGATATCCTGTTTGAGATCTTTTATATTAAAGGTACAATATGCAGGAATTTTCGCCACCAGGGGTCGCTAGCCTTTTACAATAACCAAGGCGAATAATGATGACGTATTCCACATTAAGCGTAAGTATGGATCTTGTCATCAAGCTGATGGATCTTTTATGGATGAGTGAATAAATTGATGTTTTTAACATGACTATGGTATAAAGCAGGGCGCGATTGCTAGACGTATACCAGCGCCACACACAACACGAGTCCGGCGGATGTAAAGGACATTTCATTCTACTGAACTACACGCAAGTGCTAAATTAATACTCACACAGGTCAAACGAATTATTAGACGAATTAAACTTGAGGTAACGCAGCGCTGCTTCACTTGCTCTACACTATCACGCCAAATGGCATTTGAGTGTGTTGAATGTTGTTAGTTAGGTTGTTTGTTGGCTGTATGAGACTAGCAGTGAGCTAGATCAACATTAGAATAACATACAGATCATATACTAACATTTCATCATGTTGAACTACATAACATTGATTATTGTTATGTACATTTGCTCACCTGTCTAATAAAGTATGTACGCAATACTCACGCGACTGTCAAGTCCAAGTTAGTCGCGGACGTGGAGCTCTCAGCATCTCGAAAGATGTTAATCTTCGTTTTAGTCCTCTTTTTGTCTCAAAGTCCACTTGCCGTGGTCCATAAAGTTTGAACAAAACATCAGTGTGAGCGCCTTGCTAGGCATAACGGCAATAACCCGGTTATCCACGTCTGTCGCCATAGTTACTATCGCAGTGCGAGCACAAACCTGGTGGAAACCGAGGGTAACGCGGATATGACACCATTGACTGGCGACTCCTCACACCTGCTGACACGCCCTGTTTCCATTGGTTAAAATCGCAATTTCCTCACGATTTACAAATAGTTGGAAACATTCAGGATATTGTAATTAATCAACAAAACAAAACATATAACATTGGCCTAGTGATTTTTGGATATTTTACTGCAAAAGCCCTACATATTGTACCTTTAACATCTATTTTAAAGGTGCGATAGGTGATCTGGGAAGTGCTAATTTTAGCCTACTAGCATTGTAAGCATTACAATCGTGAAACTTCAGTTTGGTTTCATGCCAATAGTTCAAAAGATAATATCCATTCAATTTTATTTTATTTATATATTAATTTTTTTTAGAAAAAAAGGTCTGAAAAATTTGTAAATATTGAAAGAAAAATAGATTCACAATTTGCGAAGTGGCAGTGATCTATAATACACGTGTTCTTTTTGTGTTTTTTAGAGGTTTTAGAGGTTGAAAAATTACCATAGTACATTGGAATAGGATGCCTACTTCATAAATTGTAGGACAATTGTGGAAATGATGGTTCAGGTCACTCAAACCACATTATGGACCTTATATGGGCAGTAATGAAGTCTGGTTGTCACCTAGTGAAAAAGTTTGGTACTGCGCCCAAACAAAATCTCACTGAAAGCTCATTTTTTGAGATATCAACCTAAAATTTTAAATACTTGTTCTTGAAACACTTGGAAACTTGTTCAGAGTTTTGGCTTTGATTTCCTTGCAGTTTTAGAGTCCACCAGGTTTTGAAAATATATATTTTATATAAAATATGAGTAATTAAATTTTTACATAAACATAACATTTTCTATAACTTTTTTTCTGTTTCACTTTCTTAATTTATTTCACTTCTACAAAAATCTGCCAAATGTCTTCTTTACATCTAAAGTATTCTTGAATTGAAACCATTTCAGTTCGTTCTGTACTTGTCTATTTTTACTTCCCAAATATCTGTATGCCAGTTGGTGGTGACAAGTGAGTGAGCGAGTAATTTAATCATTCACTCCACCTATTCATTCAACAACGCTGATTCATTCAGGAATGCAACTTCAAACTTTTGCTCACATGTTGTCAATGGTAGATTCTGCTTTTGCGTCATTTGGAACAGTTTTCGTTGTCGGATCAACCCAGATAAGTAACTGGCAATATTGTGCCTTCAATGTTAAGCTCCTTCAATATGAGCTTCTTGTTCATTGAACTTGCAATCACGCTGTTCATCTGAGCAACAGCGCGGTCTCAAGTTAAAAATCCGTCAAACTAAATTCTCACTTTCAGACAAAAATATGCGCTCCACCTTCCTCCTCTTTCCCGTGATTATCTTCTTGAGCTCCAGGTGTTGTGTTTCGGGCTGTTCAGCTTCGAAGTAATGACAGGCAGAAAACAGCTGGTTAAGTGGTTAAACCATTGCCATTTCCTTCCCTTTCCCTATTTTTCACTTTTTAAGATCTCACATTCCTTTTTATCCTCTATATAGTTCCTCCTTTTCGCATTTACGGGTTGTGTTTTTGTTAAGAACAATATTTGAGCTCCAGAAGAGCACAGATTTGTTCAATTGTTCTGTCAAATGTTTTTCTGCTTCGCAGGACCGTCTCTCTCTCTCTCTCTCTCTGTGTGTGTGTGTGTGGATGTTTATGTGAAAGTGTGTGCCATCAAGCTTTTATTGCTTGAAAAGTTTTCAACAGTAAAACAGGAGAGATGATTACTTAAGCCAAATATAAATCCAACACCAAACACGGCAATCCAGCCCACATGCAGAAAGAAAATCCCTTTTTTTTTTTTTTCGAAAGATTTGCAGACAGTATGTAAACTCAAGGGTCCCCCAGGGCTTGGCTGAGATGTGTAAGAGAGATACAGTACAGAGAGAGTGAAGAAACATGTAGTCACTATTGAAACTGAATTTAGTTGTGAGTTACTCACACTGATTTACACTGACTAATTCCTTAGAAATGATTAATCAGGCTTTTTACTGGCATAGTTGGCCACAACACATTCCCAGTAATGTGTCACAACACTCGGTTGCTCTCAAAACAATCACAGTCATCCACTTAAGTGTAATTATTTAACCATACTCTAGATCGTTTTCATTTCAAGGACAGTGTTTGCCTGTAAAATCTTTATTTAGGTCATGCTTGTAAGACTGTGATTTCTAGTTTCTTCTTAAAAGTAAATTTGCCTGCAGATCTGAATGTTTCCTCTACTACTGTGGTCCATTTCAGCTGTATGTGACATGTCTTTTTCATTAGTCCGGTTCTCAGTGCAGCCCAACTGGGGCGTAATAAAAGCTATATATATTTAATGCGCACAGACTATTAAAAGAAACATAAATATGTCTTTAAATATAGCTTTAAACCCATGAAAGTCAAAATATAATGAAAAATGGGAAAAGTTTGTGGTTAAAATAGATGTTCATAGGTTTTTACAGTGCTTTTTATGGTCCCTGCATATGTGCTGATTGCTTGCCAGAAAATGTCACTCGGTGCTGAGAATGGCCAAGTTTTTGGAAACCGTGACCGAGTCTGATTTTTATTTTTTTATTTTTTTTTAAGACGTTTTGGTTTGAACTGAAAATGTTATTGCATATTCAAATATTTCTGGAGCAGTGTTATTTTAGTATTATATACAATTGTATTTAGTAATATTAGTTTTAAATTAGCTTAGTACTTTTAGTACTTATGTTTTGTGATTTTTTTTTTTAATTAGTTTTAGTTTTTTATATCTCTATCTTTAATTTCTGTAATCTACTACATATGGCAACGCTACAATAAAGTCTAATTTGTAAACATGAGTTAGTGCATTAACTAATACAACTGACAATTATCTATATATTTTTACAGCTTGTATTAATGTTAGATAATAAACATGTTAGTTCATTTGTTAACAGATGGATCTTTTGATCTAAAACATTTATTTGTAAATGTTGAGATTAACATTAGATAATATTAATAATTTTATTTAATTAGCATTTATATTTTATTATGACTGAAAATACTTTTTTGTTTTATTTTAGTTAACAATAACAACCTTGTAGTTTAGCCTGCAATCACTAATAATTATTCAATAATAGATGCAGGTTTTATTTATTGTTTTTAACTCAGTCAGCCTATGCATCTAACCGATATCAACTCATGGCACAATAACTACCGTTTTTAGAATTCTTTCAGAACTGTATGGAAGCACCTAAGAGGCTATGGATTAATTGAATCTACTTTTTCTTTCATGTTTTCTTGTGATCACAACTTAATTTTCTTGTGATCTCAACATAAAATCTGTTTTCTTGTGATCACAACTTAATTTTCTCGTGATATCAACATAAAATCTGTTATCTTGTGATGACAACTTAATTTTCTCATGATCTCAACATAAAATGTTTTCTTGTGATGACAACTTAATTTTCTCGTGATCTCAACATAAATGTTTTCTTGTGATCACAACTTAATTTTCTCGTGATTTCAACATAAAAAATTATTTCTTGTGATCACAACTCAATTTTCTCATGATCTCAACATAAAAATGTTTTCTTGTGATCACAACTTAATTTTCTTGTGATCTCAACATAAAATCTGTTTTCTTGTGATCACAACTTAATTTTCTCGTGATCTCAACGTTTAATCTGTTTTCTTGTGATGACAACTTAATTGTTCTCGTGATCTCAACATAAAATGTTTTCTTGTGATCACAACTTAATTTTCTCGTGATTTCAACATAAAAAATGATTTCTTGAGATCAAAACTCAATTTTCTCATGATCTCAACATAAAAATGTTTTCTTGTGATCACAACTTAATTTTCTCGTGATCTCAACGTAAAATCTGTTTTCTTGTGATCACAACTTAATTTTCTCATGATCTCAACATAAAATCTGTTTTCTTGTGGTCACAAATTAATTTTCTTGTGATCTCAACATAAAAATGTTTTCTTGTGATCACAACTTAATTTTCTTGTGGTCTCGACATAAACGTTTTTCTCTATCACGACTCAATTTTCTCATGATTGACATTTAAAAAAAAAATATATACAGTATATATAATATAATTAATATATTATATAAATTCCATTTTAATACAACTGTAGATGTACCTCTTTCTGATACAATACTTGCATTAAAGTCTTAAATAACATTGATTGTCAACATTTTATGTTGCTGCCTTGTAAAGAAACACCGCCTTGTTAAGAAACACACATAAAATGAAGGCCTTGGTTTTTAATGGCCCAAGTAAAATACGACGTTCAGTCAAGTTTTTGTGTGTTGTAATTTTTGAGATAATTTTTTTATCAGCTTGTGTCAGCACAATGTCTTATATGATTTACTGGTGTTATTTATCCACTAGAAACAACTTTTTTGGGACCTATAGCACCAAGAGAAGCTCGACTCATAGTTCTTTGGCATTTTTTCTCATTGCCACAACTTAAGTATCTCAGAAGTTGTAGGTTAGATTCCCGAGATATCTTTGCCTCCAGTATATCATGAAGACTGCAAATGTCAACATCCTTCTCATCTGACATATTGCTTTTTGCATATTAGGGAAGTATGAATATTTGTAGTGCAAGAGAAAGACTGTCTTCCAGGGTTCCCAGGGCCATGGAAAACCTGAAAATAACATATTACAATTCTGATATCTAGGCCTGGAAATTTTTACTGGGAGATACATTGTTTTTTTTTAGTTGTGCTCCTGTCTAAAGTATTGCATCGGCTAGACATTGCTCTTTGTGAGTGCTTGTGTAGAGTAAACTCCCTCGAGGCAGTGCGATAACATCAGTCTCGTCTGTCTTTTGAGGGTCTTATTGAAGATATTTGCACACTAATTTGTACTCTAGGATAATTTGTTTAATTTGCTGTATAAAAGTCATGGAAATACAGGAATTCTGTTAGATTTCACTGCTAATAACACAGGCTGTGATCTCTATTGACAATTCAGTATGTTTAGTTTGCGTTTCCATCCTCTCAACAGACTCTTTCCACCTTTAGTACTTTAGTATAATGATTTGGGGTTGTTTGATTTAGTACACTTGGGAGACATCCACTGTTATTATGTTATTTACTGTCCGTACTAATCCACAGCGGGCATGTAGAATGCAGGGCTCAGAGCTGTTATTAAGTATGCTTAGTACTGACATTCCTCTCCAAATCCCCGTACTTTTGGATGAGTCTCTGTCGAGTTTCCAACTATCAGTTTCTGTCTCTTAAAAACTGTCTACGAAGGCTGTCAGAGACTTGTCTGCGTTTAACGTCACTTTGAGATTTCCTCCTAGCAGTCACTGAATAGACTTCTCTCTATTTACCATCCTGTAGGATAAGCAAATGCGACTAGTGACCACGTCACACACTATCCGCACAAACACATGTTCAGATACATGTCATCTAAATCACTGCACTGCAACAGGTGTGTAGTCAACATTGTGCGGATTGGGAATGTGTCCGTTTTATGCTTGTAAATCAGAGTAAAGCCTCTCTATACCTCTCCTTCCTCCTCAACCAGTGCTTCATACTGTAGTTTCCAGACAAAAAAAATAGAGGGTTTCATATAGAGGGCTCTTATTGCAGAACACAACAAAAAATAACAACACAGTGGTGATCACTCAGTCTAAATAGGTCTAATAAAAAAGAGAACGGAGTAAATTTCACTACCAGTAAGTGGAGTTTTTAACCTAGTAGAATTTATTTGAGGGGTTTAAAAAGTGCATACACTCTAAAAAAAAAAAAAATGCTGTTTTTTTTTTCAACCCAAATTTTGGTCAAATATAGATAAACCCAAATTTTGGGTTAAACATGTAATTAAAAAATTTAAAGTTGAAAGTGAAAGTTGAAGTTGGGGTAAAATTTTGAATGACATTTTAACCCAAAATTTGGGTTTGTCCATATTTGATCCAAATTTGGGTTAAAAGAACCCAACCTTGTTTAGAGCTACTGTGCGCTTTAGACAAATTAGGCTTGGTCTTATCAGACTCCATCCATGTTTTTCAAGATTGGAGTATTTAATCCAATATTTTCCACTATTCATTTTGTACAAACCTCAAATTTCTAATAAACTTACTATAAATCTGTAAATCGGTTTTGGTTACCATAACAGCTCTCTAAAAAGACCTTTTATGGTCTCTAGGGTACCATTATAATATGAATGCAATATAAGGCAACTTCAGTAGAGAGTTCACTTTCATGACTAAGTGTGAATACACTTTTAAAAAGTGCTCTGTAATAATGTAAATGGTGTTTTAATAATCTTTTGTCATTTTTTAAAGTATACTTATTTTGATGTGTTGACTAACATACTAAAGCACATGTGGTCCGACCGCTACTTGATTATAATTTTACCTGTAGTTTGTTATTAGGTTACATTTTAATTAGGGCTGCCAAACGATTAATCGCGATTAATCGCATCCAAAATAAAAGTTTGTATTTACATAATATATGTGGGTGCACTGTGTATAATTATTTTGTATATTTATAAATACACACACATGCATGTATATTTAAGAATAAAAATTATTATATATAAAATATTTATAAATATATATAAATATAAATAAATAAATATACAAATAAAATAAATAAATATATAAATAAAAAATAAATATATATAAAATAAATATAAAATATTTATAATATAAATTATATATAAATCTATATAGAGTATATACAATAAAATATTTCTTAAATATATACAAGCATGTGTGTGTATTTATACAGTATATATATATATATATAAAATAATTATACACAGTGCACCCACATATATTATGTAAACACAAACTTTTATTTTGGATGCGATTAATCACAATTAATCGTTTGATAGCCCTAATTTTAAAACATTTTAAATGTAATAAATTTTAACATCATCATCATTATATATGTGTAATTACAAATATGTTTGATGTTGAGGGCTCTTAATATTCAACAATATTATTGATTGACTGCATTGACACTGTTAGATGAGAACTGAACTGAGCTGGACGATGACTTCACTATTTTCTGTAGAACTGATTTGTAAATGAAATGAACTAATTTAGAAATCTACGATCTTTACAACGGAGCTGAATCAACAACAATCTGTATTGTTTAAAGCACTCTATAAATAAAGGTGACTTGACTTGACAATATACAGAGTACATGCCTGAAAACAAGTCATACCATATACTGTGTAACTAGACAAAAATACAGTATTTTGTAGTTACTGTATGTTTATAATTTTGAGGTCGAGTGATAGCAAAGTCCCTTTCAAGGACATCGAAAGTCTTTTGTGATTTCGTGGAACGGCTCAGATTTGGCCCAGCTTCCATCATACTTAAAAATTATGTCATTATTTACCAGCGCAGTCTCATCCCAAGACATCATATAACTGACGTCTTGAGACGTCTTGTGACCATACGTCAACATCCGCCTTTTTAGTGTACCCTTAAACGTCAGTTAGATGACGTTATCAGATCCTAACCCTACCCCAGACCTAAACCTACCCCGTCACCTAACCGACGTTAAAGGTAAATGTAAGACGGCCCGGGATCGTCATGTAACCGACGTTTAAGGGTATACCCTAAAAAGGCGGATGTTGACGTATGGTCAAAAGACGTCCCAAGACGTCAGTTATATGACTTCTTGAGATGAGACTGTGTTATATTTACTCAACCTCATGTTGTTCCAAATCCACTAGACTTTTGTTCATCTTCAGAACACAAATTAAGATATTTTTAATGAAATCTTGAGAGCTTTCTGTCCCTCTTTTGAAAGTCTATTCACCCGAAACTTTTGACGGTTCAAAACAATCATAAAAAGATTGTGATTTTTGACAGAATTTTCATTTTGGGGTGAACTTTAACCAGAGAATCATAGATTTCATCGGAGATGACTGTCCCTTCATTATCTTCTTGGTCTCAGTCCCATTTCAGTGTCCTAAATTTGATTTTGCGATTAGAGTTTTATGTGTACAATTTTTGCATGTGTGTTAACTAAAAAAAAAACATGGTGAAATCTGTGCATGAGGGCATTTTTGTGAAGATTAAAAAAACAAAAAAATCACAAACCCCCCAAATGGAATAAAATGGACCATGTGTGAAAACAGGTGAATAGAGTTTAAAGTTTCCAAGAATGTGTCTTTGTTTAGGGAGCTGAAGTAATTCTCTGGGATTGTATGCTAATAGAATCCGTTTTAATGTGTTTGCAATGAAGTAAAACTGTAATTCGCTTTGCATTATTGACCTGGAATAAAGAAACACAAAACCACTGCCACAAGAAACATTCTTTTGGCGCGTCAGCCTGAGCTCCAGTAGTTTATGTCCGTGAACATATTTGCTGTGAACAGAAATGACCGAATGTTTCAGTGCAAGAGTTCTGAATGTTCTCTGTGTTTCTCCTTTAGATCTGATGTCTTGATATTCTCCTTTCCTCTCCTGTTTGATGAGGTGAAGTTCATGTGACCTCCAGAAGGTGTGCAGGTCATAGAAAAACACACTTACCATCTGGACACAAGTGACATACACCCTCATTACTACAAAATTACACACCACAAGACACACTCAAGTATGCAAAGAGACGGCTGTGGACTGCATTAGAGAATGGGCCTGTTTTACATTTGTTTTCTGTTCTAGTGGCTTCTAGAGGGAGAGGGAGAGGGTTTTTCTGTTGCTCTAATTCTCTGATTTAGTTCTGGTTAGGTCAGAATAAGCCTCCCTGAGTGTTAGAAAGAAAGTTAGAGAGACTGTGTCTGTCCATCACAAAGTGATTGTAATTCTAAGCATTTTACAGCTTCTCTCACATGCAGAGAGATTTCTTGGAAGGAATCCTTGCTGCTTATGAAAGAACAAAAAATGGGGTGAGTGGAAAGAGGAGAGGAGGGAGATGTGTGCCAGTGTGTATGTGACTCGCTGTCTGGGGGTGAGACACACACACACACACACACACTTAAATACCAAAGAGAAAAACCCCCTTTCTCTAAAACTTTCTCTCACACAAACACACATCTCCATTCAGAGACAGCGCCACTGCAGTACTTCTCATTAAGACCAGGACATACACACACATTTACACACTTACTAACTGTCTTGTTCTGCTCATGGCTTGTGAGATGCAACTGCCGACCTGGAGCGGACACCAGTGGAGACTGATCCAGCATTTCCTCCAGATGACCCTATTGCTCGCCCTCCTGTGCCCACCCGCAGAGCCTGTTCCCTGGGACAATGACTTCAGCAGTGGCCCTGGAGAGGTAAGAACCATAGAGAATGAACAAATGATTCCAGCCGGCAGAACTAGAATGCGTGCAAGTGTCTGTAACAGTGTTTATGCAGAACAATATCTAGGGTCTTGAAATACTTTAAACTTAATTAGGATAAATTACATAATCTGCACTTACAAATAAATCTATAGTATTAAGTTCATCAAGTTATCAATTTAATTGGTTGAAATTTATATAAATATGACTTGACTTTATAACATATAGAAATGTTGTGGTATAGTACACTAATGTGATGCCATTTTCAAGAAGGTTATTTCCAAACAGTACATTGCTGCATTGCATTTTAAAATGATGCACATTTTTACAAAATTGCAATTGTTACAATGACAGTAACAAAAATACTGTTAACGAGTACTATGTACTTTGTAAAGACAAGAAATACACTAGACTGTAAAACTGGCACAAACAAAATTAAGGTTTTTTTTTTGTCTCTTGCAATTCCTGTAGCAACCTGTTTACATTTCTGAAAGTTTAATAAAAAATATATAAAATAATAAATAAAATAACTTTAATATATAAAATTCTTGTTAATGTATATTAGTGTTTTTTATGTATTTTTCGAAAAAATATTTAATGTTATCTATGCAGTGCAAAGGATATTTTTTTAAATAGGCCTAAATGTATTTTTATTTATTTAAAAAATATATTATGTTGTATTTGATAAAAAATAAATAAATAAATAAATATGAAATGTCTATATATATATATAATATAATCGTAACCTATTGAATACTGTGAGAATGTGAGATTACTCATAAACTCCTGAGTCCAGAATTGTAAACTCTGGAGCAAACATTGATGGCTCTTGTAAAGATCATCTTGGGGACAAAACATTGCAAAACTATCCAGGATGTGTGTGTGGGACTCTGGGGTCAGGTTTTGTCTACATTGTAGGGAAGAAATGTCCCCATAGGAATAGTAAAACCCCAAATCACCTCAACTGTGGGGATCAGTCAAAGGTCCCCACGAGGAAAAAGGCTTATAAACATACTAAATAACATATTAATAACATTGTAAAAAAAAAATGCCGAAAGGTTTATTTGAGGTTTGGGGGGTAGAAAACATTGTGAACTCAGAGTAAAAACAAAAGAAGTCACTGGAAACTCCCCACTATGATAAAAAACAAAACTATGTGTGTTTTGGTGTTATGCAGAATTTTTCCAGTCTGTCAAGTATGATATTCTTAAAACCAAGCCTGTTTCTTATTGTAAGTCTGACAAACTGGGAGAAAAGGTGTGTTTTTTCATAGTCTTAATCAATCCCAGTTCTTATAGGTTCTTATGAACTAACAATAAAAGCAGTTTGTTTAAGCAGATGGCATGCAGTGCGAGTAATTCTGAATCATGAAATGATGCGGTCCCTGTCTGACTGTAAAGTGTGTGTTTCTCATTATTGTGTTATGCTAAGAGGGACTTGTGTTATGATGGTTTGTTTTAGGAAACAGTTTACAGTGAATCATTGCGAATATTTTGAATCATCTCTTCATTGAGCATAGTATTTATCTTTGTTCATCTGCAAACATGGGTGAATATTGAATTCGATGTTTACATTCAGTATGCTAAAGCTGTAAAAAAGTGTACAAGAAATTAAGTTGCATTTAACAAAGCTGAATAAATAAAATATGTATTGCTCATTATTTGGTAATTAACAAATGTTAAGTAATGAGACCTTACTGTTAAGTGTTTTTCATGTAAAATATGCACTCATGTGCTTTGAGTCTAATTTACATATAAATTATAAATGACTGAAAGCATTTTTTAGAGGCATAAATACAGCTCAATGTGAGTGCATTTTCAGTGAGAGACAGCAATGCCCTTTTGAAGAGCTACATGTTTGCTTTTTTTGATTAACTCTTGCCAGATAAGACAGCCAACTTGATGAATTTTCTGAAATCGAATCATCTTAGCTGTTCAATTTTGATTTTAATCTTTTTATTAATACGATCTCAAGCAAACACATCTGCCCAGATAGTCTCCCATTTGAAGTGGTGAAGTCCCTGTTTTCATCTGTGTGAAGTCATTACTCAGGACTGAAACTGAAGGTTGACTCATGTGTGTTTATGTGTGTTGTTATCGTGCAGGGCTGTGAGGGTTTCCAGGTGGATGTATGTGGTGTGTGCGCAGGGGATGGGAGCTCATGTGAGCTGTTCAGTGGGACACTCTTTCTTTCTGTGCTCTCTGTTGGTTACCACAAGATCCTGGACATCCCCTCTGGAGCTCAACGAATCAAAATACAGGAAACACAGAAGACCAGGAACTACTTAGGTAATGGAACTGAATTCCTGCTGGCTCTTGTTTTTAATTTACTTAAGGCTCATTATCATGTCACCTTCCTCAAACAGGGTGTAATTTAGTGTTTCGAGACATAAAACACGTTTTTGTGTGTGTTCAGCAAGGTGAGAATACAAATAAATAATCTCATTGTGTTCATTTATAATCATCTGTATTTGATGTGCACAACCATTCAATAATTTTATTTTACACTCACCTAAAGGATTATTAGGAACACCTGTTCAATTTCTCATTAATGCAATTATCTAATCAACCAATCACATGGCAGTTGCTTCAATGCATTTAGGGGTGTGGTCCTGGTTATGACAATCTCCTGAACTCCAAACTGAATGTCAGAATAGGAAAGAAAAGTGATTTTTAAGCGTGGCATGGTTGTTGGTGCCAGACGGGTTGGTCTGAGTATTTCACAATCTGCTCAGTTACTGGGATTTTCATGCACAACCATTTCTAGGGTTTACAAAGAATGGTGTGAAAATGGAAAGACATCCTGAATGCGGCAGTCTTGTGGGCGAACATGCCTTGTTGATGCAAGAGGTCAGGAGAATGGGACGACTGATTCAAGCTGATAGAAGAGCAACTTTGCCTGAAATAACCACTCGTTACAACCGAGGTATGCAGCAAAGCATTTGTGAAGCCACAACACGCACAACCTTGAGGCGGATGTGGTACAACAGCAGAAGACCCCACCGGGTACCACTCATCTCCACTACAAATAGGAAAAAGAGGCTACAGTTTGAAAGAGCTCACCAAAATTGGACAGTTGAAGACTGGAAAAATGTTGTCTGGTCTGATGAGTCTCGATTTCTGTTGAGACATTCAGATGGTAGAGTCAGAATTTGGCGTAAACAGAATGAGAACATGGATCCATCATGCCTTGTTACAACTGTGCAGGCTGGTGGTGGTGGTGTAATGGAGTGGGGGATGTTTTCTTGGCACACTTTAGGCCGCTTTAGTGCCAATTGAGCATCGTTTAAATGCCACGGTCTACCTGAGCATTGTGTCTGACCATGTCCATCCCTTTATGGCCACCATGTACCCATCCTCTGATGGCTACTTTCAGCAGGATAATGCACCATGTCACAAAGCTTGAATCATTTTTTAAATTGGTTTCTTGAACATGACAATGAGTTCACTGTACTAAAATGGCCCCCACAGTCACCAGATCTCAATCCAATAGAGCATCTTTGGGATGTGGTGGAACGGGAGCTTTGTGGCCTGGATGTACATCCCACAAATCTCCATCAACTGCAAGATGCTATCCTATCAATATGGGCCAATATTTCTAAAGAATGCTTTTAGCACCTTGTTGAATCAATGACACATAGAATTAAGGCAGTTCTGAAGGTGAAAGGGGGTCAAACACAGTTCTGGTGTTCCTAATAATCCTTTAGGTGAGTGCAAGAGTGTAGGCCAAATTATGAAACAAATATTTTGGGGTTGGTAGTATTTAAAAAAAAAAAAAAACATTTATTTTTATTTTTTATCGAAGTCTCTCTCACCAAGGCAGCATTGATAGAATTTCATTAAAAAAATGTAATATTGTAATATCTCCAATGTCACATGATCCTTCAGAAATCCGTGATACGTTTTTTGATGACTCACCCCAATGTCATCCAAGATGCCCATGTCATTCTTTCTTCAGTCGAAAATAAATCTTTTATTTATTAAAAATGTTTTTGATGAAAACATTCCAGGATTTTCTCCATATAATGGACTTCATTGGGAACCAAACGGTTCAAGGTCCAAATGAGAGTTTCAGTGCAGCTTCAAAGGACTTTAAACAACACCAGACGATGACGATTTTTGAAATGACCGACCGTTTCGCTAGATAAGATCCTTATTCATCGTCTGGTGTCCTTTAAAGCTCCAATAAACCTGTAGATAAGAATAAATGACATGGACGTCTTGGATGACATGGGGGTGAGTAAATTATCAGGAAAAGTTTTTTTTTTTTTTTTAAGTGAACTACTCATTTAATTTAGTTCAGTCTGTAGTGTAAAAATGTCAGTGTCTAAATCATTTTTGGTCCAAAATTTGTATAAATTTTACTTGTAGTCCACGTTATGAAGAATTTTTGGGTATAACATGTCACAGTTAACTTTATTTTGCTATCATCACTTATATAAATGAACTATAGTGTCCTGCATCCACTAGTAAAAAATTTTTTAAGCATTTCAGTCCCTATAATTCAAAGTGCCATAATGGGTGGTAACTGGTTTTACTTCTAAATGCTCCAAGCTGGTAGACCACTGTGGACCAGCAGAATAACAGCTTCCACATTCCAGATGCCAGCTGGTGTGACCTGGTTTATCACTCTAAGGTCAATATGTGTTATGGAACCATGTGTCCTTCTTCCAGCCATAATTTTTTTCCCCCTCTCTCTTTCTTCAAGCTCTCAGGACAGCGAGTGGTGAATCAGTGATAAATGGTAACTGGGTAATCGACAGGCCAGGATATTTCTATGCTGTGGGTACTCAGCTCACATACAAACGGCCCAATGAGATACGCAGCAGAGCGGGAGAATCCATCACTGCTCCTGGCCCAACCAATCAGGAGCTGCATCTCTTTGTGAGAGACCACTCCTACTGTATGATATCACAAAACTGCCTTGATTGCATCGTGCTGTGTTTAAGGGATTAAGAAAATTAAATTGATAATGTTCTGCATAAAATGACTACTGCTTTTTCCATTTTGGCTTATTTTCCTAACAGTGTGATGTATTGTTTTAGAAAGTTAGGAAGTTTGTTTTTATGATATCAAAGGCTTCATAGGCAATACGCTCATATGAATAGTGTGTGAGACTGTTAATTTTTTATTTTAAACTCCATATTTTTCAGGTGATTTATCAACAGCCCAATCCAACAGTGTATTATGAATACATTCTACCCAAAGACCCCATCACCGACACTTACTCAGATGCCTATTCTTATTCTAGTGTACTTCCTCTGGGTAAGTATTTTAATATATAATATACATTTTATACTAATGCACATATAGAGTACACTATAAAATATTTTTCAAAATATTTTTTTTTTGTTCAACATGGATACATTTAATTGATCAGATTTTTACACTGTTACAAAAAAAAAAAAAATGCTTTATGTTTATGTTTTCAACATTGATGATAATAGGAAATGTTTCTTGAGCACCAAATCAGGATATTAGAATGATTTCTGATGGATCATGTGACTGAATATTGGAGTAATGGCTTCTGAAAATTAAATACTGTATTTTTGATGAGCAAAACAGACTTTCAAAAATAGAAAATCTTTAAAAACTTTTGAACAATCGTGTACTCCGAAGAGTTTTGATTCACAAGTATAAAATCAAGATGTTAATAATCATAAACAAAATTATCATACGTTTTTAGATTAATATTACTGTTTCTGTGCTGTTTTGGAAATACATATAATTTTTTAAAGGTTTTTATCTGCTGTAATTGGGATAACGTAAAATAACGCAACCATCTTTTCCCTTTCTGTCTCTTTTCCCCACTCTCATCCTCCAGTAGAGAGTCATGGAATGTTTCCTGATCCTGAGAATAGTGACGGTACAAGCTCAATGGGCAGCCCTCATCCTAACCAAGTTCCTTCGGACCCTATAACCCCTGAACCAGTTCCTCAATACAGCTGGGTTGCCACGAAAACAACACCCTGCAGTGCCACCTGTGGAACAGGTAGTTTTGTTATTACTCCATAAATGTGCATTTGTGGTCCTTCTTTTAATTTGCTCTGGGTAAACTAAATTGTCTCTTAAAAGATTCCTAGAATATGTGTAAGACAGAACTAGAAAATTATTATTTTTGGCCCTGAGATAATATAAACACACTGTTGTGTTGTCTAATGAATAGTGTTCTGAATATGAATGTATGTAACACACACACACAGCATTCATGCATTTCAGGCCATTGCAGAGGTTTTATAATGTCCTAACTGTTTAAAATCTAAATCAAATCCAGAGTAACCATACTTTTGTGCCTGCGACCAAAATAGACCAAAATAGGTATTCTAGCAGCAGCAGACATTGAACTTTTAAGACAATGTCTGTCCTGTCTGTCTCTGTTTAATCTGTTTGTCTGGTGTGTTTATCAGGCAGTCGTCAAGTTGTGTTCAGCTGTGTGGAAAGGGCCACTCAAACCACTGTACCGGGGGATCTCTGTAGCTACACCAGTCCGCCTGGCCCCCAGGTAGAAGAGTGTCGATCGCAGCCTTGTCCAGCCTTGTGAGTGAACATTGTTTACAGCAGACAAAGGAGACTGAAAGTGTCTAGGAAAAAAAAAAACCCCAGCACTAAAGTTAGTTCAAGATTAGTTAGTCAGTCAGTCACTAAAGTATATTGCATTCATCTATTTTAAATATACTTAAATCACATAGGCCTAACACACACAAGTCTTGGTATCGTCAGAACTACTTGCCAAATATACATAGAATACTTATTACTTAATTCATACTTTTCTTAATGAAGTACAATTACTGTATATGACAAATGTACTTAAACTGTTCTGTCTACTTGTCAGTCTAAGCCAAGCATAGGTATGTATAATTTTGTATGTATCTTACATATGAATGTTTATACACTTAAAATTAGCTTATTTTAAATTTTTAACAAAGTACACAAATAGCACACTTGAATAAACTTAGATTTGAACACAACAAATAACAAGCAGTCCGACATGCCTGCTCATCTTGGAACATCAAAAACTGTCCATATGGGCATTTGGACTTGATATTCAAATGGTCCAAATGAGAAGCACATGTGAATGAAACCAAGCAGTTGTCCTTTAATCAGTGTGTGTGTGTGTGTGTGTGTAGTTGGGATGTAGGGGAGTGGTCTGAGTGCAGTAAGACCTGTGGTCCAGGTTTCCAGTATCGTCAGGTGATTTGCCGGCAGACGCAGGGACACCATGGCAATAGCACAGTCATCGTGGCGACCAGCCTCTGCGACGACACAGAGATGCCAGAGACGACCACTGTGTGCCAGCTCAAGATCTGCAGTGAGTGGCAGATCCGCTCAGAGTGGACAGAGGTTTGTGAATGTATCTGTGTGTAGGGGAGAGTGGGGTGAGATGTGAAGAAGAAATGAGACGGACGTTTAACTAATACTCATAATTGTGTTTTAATGAGATAATCTATCATCTGGAATTAAAAGAATGCATCTATAACATGTGAGTATTGAAATATTGACTTGAATAAATGTGATCTCAGTTTGTCCCTTAACCACCTAATTAGGAAAAAAATAAATTGTCATTGTAAGCAAAAACGAAAGTCTAAAATATTAAAATATATGTTGTGATAAATGTTGCTTTGGCAGCTAACTGAAATAAAGTTTAAAAGTTGACATACTGAAATTAAAATAGTAAAACAAATTATAAATTATACAAAATAACTGTTCATTATTTATCTTGACCTTCCATGAAAATAATAATAATCTCAATCAAAGACTGATAAAGGGTGGTTTCTGAATGTACAGTTTCTTTTGAAGTATTAGTATACTTGAGCCACATTTAAAAATATATTTATTTAATTGCATTAGGAAAATATGGCTTAAGTAAAATACTTCTGGGCTCAGTATATGGTCAGGTTTCCTAAACACAGATGGTGGCTCATCTTACCTCGCTCTCCCCTCACACTACAGTTTAAAAGTTTGGGGTCAATAAGAAGTTTTTTTCTTCATTTTTTCTTTAAAACAAAATAAAATGACTTTTATTTAGCAAGTATCCTCTAAATTGATCAAAAGTGGCAGTAAAATATTTTTGACTGCTAAAAAAATCTATTTCTAATAAATGCTGTTCTTTTTCAAGAAATCACGTACACAAAAATATTAACAAAAAAAAAAAACAACACAAAAAATCACCACATTAGAATGATTAATGAAAGATCACTGACACTGAAGACTGGAGTAATGATGCTGAAAATTCAGATTTGACATTAATTAATAATATTACTGTCTTTACTGTATTTTTGATCAAATAAATGCAGCCTTGGTGAACATAAGAGACTTTCAAAAACAACCTTATGGGCTCCAAACTTTAAACAGTAGTGTAGTTACATTATATTTGCTTTTATTAGTCTTTGGAGGTCAATAGCCATCAATACAAAGTGCTCAGAGAAAACCTCTATCTCTCTCAGTGCTCTGTGCCGTGTGGAGTAGGGCAGCGCAGAAGAGAAGTCGTGTGTGTGGATAACCTGGGTGACATCGTTTCCGATGAGGAATGCAACATGGCGCTTCGCCCCCTGGACCTGCAGAACTGTGACAAAGGAGTGTGTGCCAGCAGCTGGTTCTATTCTCTCTGGAGTGATAGGGTGAGAAATCGTGCGCTTTTCTTCAGTATTTCCCAGTAGCACTTCTAAAACAGCTGTTTATGTCTCTCTGCAGTGCTCCGCAGACTGTGGGGAAGGAAGTCGCAGCCGGTCAGTGGTGTGTATGATGAGTCAGACCAACTCGCTTCCACTGGACAACTGCGATGATGAGGATAAAGCCGAGGAGCTCATGCCGTGTGACCTGGGACCCTGCTCACAGCGACTGGAATGGTACACGGGACCCTGGGGACAGGTGCATGGACACACACATGCAGAAAGTTTAGTTGAAGCTCTGAAATTACTAAAGCTGCAACTGAAATAAAATTAAAGGTATACAGAAACAAAAAGTAATAAAAATGATAAAAAGGACACAAAAAAGTAATAAAATTGAAACAAAAATTAAAGTTAATTTAACCTGTTCACTGTCAGTGTCCCGTGGTCATTATCAGTGTTTTTTTTCTCCTGTCAAATATTTTAGTAATATCATTATTAATCATTATCATTATTATGATTTTAGTAATATCATGATTCACAGTAGATCTCATTCAAGAGCTAAAATGGGCATGGAAATTGTACTTTAAATCCTTTTAGGTGGCTCCTCCCCCTAGTGAGCGGTGTCATGTTTCACATTTTGCTAAATGTACTGCATTATTTTATAGTGAAATATTTTTCTAATCTTGACAAATCAAATCACAAATGGTTGGAAAGGTCTGATACTAAAAGTTCTTTCAAAAAGTGAATATTGTTACAGAATTTTTTTAATTTGTCAAAGCAGAATGCATAATTAAAATTTCAATGGAGTGTGAGTCATTGGGTGGCTATTTTTAGCATAGCGCCTTTTCAAAAGCTCACAGGAACCTCCATTTTTGTTTGTGATAATAAACTTTCAATTTGGAACACAACTAAATATTTGGCTTTGATTTTCTAGCGGGTTTAGAGTTCAAAATAGTTTGCAAATTATATGGATGCTTCTTCCTTTTAGGCATGGAATGACTTGCAAAACATACTTAAATTGAAGTCTTTGCCACCTTTGAATACTTTCAAATGTATTTTAAATCTGTTTTTTTTTTTTTTTTTTTTTTTTTTGTGTGTGTGAAATGTCTGGCCAGTTTTCCCTGGAGGAAGAGATTGTAATATCTCAATGGGATCTTCCTGGTTAAATATATTGTATAACATAAAAAAAAAAAAAAATTTAGTGTAAAACATTTACTTTACAGTAAACTTTCATTTTGTAAAAAGAGATTAGGTCTGGAATCCAAAGCATTCAATAAATACTGGGATTTAGGTTTATTTAAAGGGATAGTTCACCCAAAAAAGAAAATTCTGTCATAATTCACTCATCCTCAAGTTGTTTCAAACCAATATGAATTTCCTTCTTCTGCTGAACACAAAATAAAATATTTTGAAGAATGGTGATAACCAATCAGTTGTTTGGCACCATTGACTTCCATAGTATGGAGAAGTCAATAATACCTTACAACTGTTTAATTACAAACATTCTTCTAAATATCTTCTTTCATGTTCCACATAACAGACACATTCATACAGGTTTGGAACAACTTGAGGGTAAGTAAATGATAACAGAATATTTTGTGTGAACTATCCCTTTAAGCCCTTTCACATTTATGCTCAAAAATTGAGGTGACAGTAATTCTAATGAAGACTATAATAATATATTTTAATACTAAAATAAGTCTGCTTTTAAACTGTTCATTGAAAGAGCTGACTCATAAGAGTCGTTTGTATTTTGCTCGAATTGAGCTGCACTACTAAATCAGTGTTTTTGATTCACTAAAAAGGCCCAGATCAAATACTGAACAATACTGGTTTGCTTATTTGTGTGTATGTGTGCGTCACAGTGCTCGTCTGAATGTGGCAATGGTACCCAGAGTCGAGGTGTGGTCTGTGTTCTCCAAAACAATGACCAATTAGAAGTCACCTCAGATGAGCGCTGCTCTCATCTGCCCCTTCCTCCGAGCGGACAGACCTGCTATTTGAAGAGTTGCGGTGCGCAGTGGTACATGACGGAGTGGAGCTCGGTTAGTTCCTCACACACACACACAGTGCAAGTTCAACCAAGCAGTTTCAATCAACTTGTTTAACGAGAATGTTTTTAACTTACCTCAGTGTTCTCGTTCCTGCGACGGAGGCTTTCGAGTGAGGGAGGTACGTTGTTTGCAAGATGAACTGACCACAAGCCATGACTGTGATCCTGCCCTTGAACCTGCAAATCACGAAAATTGTAACACACACATCTGCACGCCACAGATTGGTAAGATTTTCTTCAGCTGTCACTTTCTTCATTTAAAATTATTTGTATTTGTACTTCATCTAATATTGTTAAACGGTTGCTCATCCTAAATGAAAACTCTTGTTATCACCCAAATGCCATTCCAAACCAAGGCTGGGTATTGATGCAGATTTCCCAATCTATTCCGAATCATTTATTTCTTTCATTTTATTACATATTCTGCTAAAATACATTTATCTCTGCTAATGCTATGATTATTATGGCCAGTGTTTCAGACTTGTTTTAAACTTGTCTGTTTGACAATGTTGTTATTGTTACCTAAACCTAAAACTACTAAAATAATTTTCGGTAATTGAAAGCTGGTAAATATAGCTGTATTAAAATAATATAAAATGTTGAAAATGAAAACTTTTATGAAAATTTGAAATGTTGCCTTGGCAACTAACTGAAATAAATGCATACATTTAAGTTGATGTAGTAAAATGACCAAATCTAAAACTAAAATAAAATGTAACATTTATAGAAATAAAACTAATAAAAATGACAAAAGCACATAATAGAATTACTAAAAGTGTTCTTAAAATTGCTGCAAGCTCTCATCCAGATATACCTCTATCCAATCAACAACTAATGAATAGAACAGAGTCACCTTAGATTTTTCCCTCTGATAATCATTCATATGGGCTCTATGCACGGCGGTATTTCCGGTGAAGGTGTAAGGATGCTCGATAACTTCCGCCGATCGTAGAGTCCAATGCAATACTGCGAATTTATATCGAATTTTATACTCCATGGTTATACTAAAGAAATGTTAGTCACAAAAACAGATAAAACAGACACCCCTCATTGTGTTTATGCTTCTTTTAAAAATTATTTTAAATAAACATAACTATATATAAAATTACATCTAAACGTATGTACATTTCATTTCAAAGATGGGAGGACAGTAAATTTTGAAGACTCTGCCATAATCCCGTTTTCCTCAGTGTTCCTCCGCTTTAATCTCCACAATCGGATATGGACGAGCATCCTTGCGTCAAATGCGGAACTTATGCATGCATATAGCCCATACCGTAGCTGTTCATCACAATACAGAAAAGATCAGTCGCTGCATCCGTTACATTGTGACTTTAACAATGAACATCGGTATTGTCAAAAATAAAGATCACGATTTTTACCCAGCCCTTTCCAAACCTATATTTTCCTTCTTCCATGGAACATTATAGGAGATCTTAAAGCTACACTGTGTGATTTTTACCCCCATCTAGTGGTGAAAAGTTATATGACCATCCAGTGAATATTAGTTTCTGTTCCTCTCAATTCCGATTTCGTTTTAACTCCTACGGTGGCCAATGTAGTCCAAGATTAACATGGCTTCCAGTTCGACCTCGCCCATGAGTGTTAACTCAAACGTTAACGTGAAAGGCGAAGCTTGAATTAACGGGTATGTCCCTCTATGTATTTTCAATGGCATATTATACACTCACGAGAATACTTTATTGCTTGAACGAAGTAAATATACATTAATGAGCACATATATTTTTGAAAGAACTACGTTTTTTTTTAGCTAAGAATAAACTAAAAGAGTTGCACAGTGTAGCTTTAAGCTAAATGTTAAATTGCTAAAAAATATAAAATGTTAAATTGAAGAAAAAATAAATAAATTGTAAATTATGTTGTACTTGGGAGAAAAAAAACATATAGGTTAGGAATGATCATGATGACAGAACTTTAATTTTTGTGTGAACTGTACCTTTAAGATGTTTCTCTTTGTCTGTAGACGAGTCCTGCAGGGATTTGTACTATAACTGTGTGGTGGTGGTCCAGGCTCGTTTGTGTGTGTACTCATACTACCGCACCACATGCTGTGCATCATGCTCTCGGGTCATTCAGAGAGACACGCTGCATAGAATCAGGTGATCCGGTCGGCTTTTTGGGATGTGACATCACCACTCGTTTTTCCTTGAATTATAATGTCCTTGTCTCATCATGACATCATCACCCACCTGTTTTCAGCTGGATCTGACATCACTGTTCATCACCTCTCTGTATTTTACTTCAAAAGACTTTACGTATACATTACCTGCCTTTCTTTTTTAAAACACAAAATGAGAATGCTCTATAAACAATTGAATATTTATTGCAAATAAAAACAACTGAGCCTCTTTTACTTCATTTATCATGTTCAGTAATGTCTAAAAATTAACAATGAATTTTTTTTTTAAATGAATCTTTTTTGACTATTAATAATTTATGACTATTAACCTCTAAAGGACATCTTTATTATCTAAAACTTTGCTTCTCAACCATTGTAGAGGGGTCCTTGTATTTTTGATAATTTAAAGAGAGGTCCACATCCAATATTAGTCAAGGTTTCTTGCTTCAAAATGAGTTTAGTTTTCAAAATAACTTTTTGATTCTGAATTTTTAAGTTCAAATGAAATGGAAGTAGCAACAGATCTTCCGAATTTTGAATTGCATGTCTGTGTGAAGAGAAAAAATTGGCGGTTAATGACTCGATTTTGAATGATTCTTATTACCAGAAAGAAGTCTATTGGTTATATATACCAGAAGATTAAACATTAACACGTTGAAAACTTTTTTTTTTTTTGTAAACGAAACATGCACGGATGAGTTATAGTTTTATAATGTGTGTAGAAAATAAACTGGGTGAAATTTAATTGCATGCAGGCTTAAAATGCCTGTTTTAGCTACATTTAAGACTTCTGTGTGTGAACACTTGGTGTGTGGAATGAAACGGTGCTTATGTTGTTAGCTGAATACTGACAAATTGTCTTTTTGGACTGGGGAGGTTTTGAGTTTTGATTCAAAAGATCAAAAATAATGTGATTTGTCCTGATATGACCCCTTGAAGAGGTCACTTCAGTACGAATAGTACAGACTAGCCAGAAATGACCCTCTCACTCTGAAAAATGGACACAAGTAAATAAATAAAAAATAAACCTAATGATAAAGGTGAATTCTAAAATATAGGAAAGTGTTCTTTCAGTGAGACACTCTATTTGCTATAAGATGTACAAAAACTAAACAAGTCAAACAAGAACATAAAATGCTCTGAAAATGCTGTATATTCACAGTGGTGTGTATATAATGTGGGAATGGGAATAGAATGAACCTATACTTCCTGTAAGATAATAAAGTCCATTATTAATAAAATTGTTATTAACTCATTAATACCATTATTATTTATAGGGAAAAAATCCCATAAGTGCAATGTTTCAATATTGGAAACAAGCTTCCAGTGAAAATATTGATATAAATAATACCATTCATTTGTGGAATAAAAAAAAAATCTTAATCTTGGCATTCAAAATGAAACAATGATATAAAACAAAATTATTAATAGGCGATCCACTTACAAACTTTATTAACTAATTTGTCATGTTAAAAACATCTGCTTTTACATTAGTTAACATGAACTAACTTAATGTCAATTTCCACATTTACTAATACATAAATAAAACTTGTGTTGTATATGTTATTCTTCATGTTATTTAATGGACCCGAACTAACATAAAATGGTAGAGTAGGACCAAAAAATGTTCATCCAATCATTGCATTCAGATAAGATTTCCTACCTACACGTCATCAGCATGTTCCGTATGGCAATGCATGTGTTGTAGACAGACGTCAGTCACCGATCTATTGTTCTAAAGAAGCTTTAAATAAAAAAAATAAAAAAAAACCCTCATGCTTCTTTTGGGAAGAACCAAGGTTCTGGGGAAGACCGACTCTTCAGGTTCTCGTATTTAAATTTATACAGCATTTCCAGCCCTGTCCTGAATCTGTGTTCAGAAGTAGACAAATGCTGCCCTCTCGTGGAATATTAGAGCAAGAGGAAAATGGACACTTCTGTACATTACCCAGTATATTATGTTAATAAATCTAATGGTATGTAATTATTGGTAAAACATTTTGTCAAATGTTTCCATTTAACTCTTGTCACAATAATTTTTGTCATTTATACTCGCTTTTATGGATTATCAGTTGCAGAGTTCCAACCTCAATCGAAAGTGGTTGAAAAGGTGCAATCTTGTCACTGCAGGTTGTACTTTTTAAATATAATCTAATTGCAAAATATTTAATTTAAGACAACAATCAAACTTTACTGTTGAATCAAAACTTTAAATTTAAACTAATTTTTAAGTGGGTTAAAACCTTTTACAATGCAACAGATCAAATATTATGTCCCTTTTGAGGATCTCAAAATCACATTAAGATGATTTTGACCAATCAGACGAACATGTTATGTATTGCATTGTACTTAAGCATTTGCATTATTCCTCAGCATTATAAATGTGTATATTTGTAATCTATTTTTCATATTAAATGATTTCAAATAATTGATGCTCAGAAATTAAGTTGTATTTCTCATGTTATTTTTTTAAGTTTGCAGTAAAAGGTCCATATTGACATGTATCGATCTCAGTAAATAAAACCTGTTGTTCCGTTATATACAGTTTAATATCCCAAGCCAAGTCATCTAAAATAATAATGGAAATGAATGAACCTTTGTGTTGAACATTTCAAACAGAAACAGAGTTTAAGCACATATTTTACAAATGAATGTATAGAAAGAAAGAAATTCATGTATTACTCAATGGTGTCATTCACACTCAGTCACTGCCTGGAGCAAAAGCTCATCAGGTACCTCTTCAGTGGTCCTTTCTACTTCCTGCAAAGCTTCTAGATAAGCAGGGTCATCAGGCCACTCTCCCCAATCCTCAGTGTTCTCAGGCCGGGCAGCCGACGAGGACTCTGCTGAAGCATTCGTGAGTACAGAGCTCATGGCAAGTTCAATGTTCCCCAGTTCATCCGTCAAATATTCCTGATCCTCTTCGTCCTTAAGATAAAGAAAGGTGTACAAGTCAACACAAAACATAATACTCAGCCTAATGTACGGTTATGTGAGTGACAGGTGTCTCCAGAGGTGAATCCTGACAAACCTTCATCAGTAGGTGGCTCATGCAGACCTCCGGAGGCAGTGGGAAGCCTGAACATAGAAATGCCACCTGATTACAAACAAACCCTTTTAAAGGTAATATCATTCCCCACAAAAGTTCCATATCTAGCCATATCTTCACATTCTTATTTTAGTATTATTTCTATACTAATATAAAGTTTCTTAACATTTTTAATGAACTTTTATTTTATATTTTAATTTCATTTGCAACCAAAATTACTAAAATCGCTAAAGTTACTTTTAATAGTTTTAGTTAACAACAACACTGAAATTCAGCCTATCTTTGAGCGCAGTATCATCTATTTATTCCTCTATGGAGCGTACTAGAGGATCTGAAGTTCTGTCTCCTGCAGTCAGGGTCATGGCATCTCTGATACCACACTTCTTCTTTGAGATCCACCACAATTCTATCAAAAAGAAGAATAAAGAGCATGTAATTTGTTTCAAACCATCAAACAGAGAATGTAAAGCAATGCAAGCCACAGTGATAGACTCACATGATGTTGTTGCTCTTGTGGAAGCGCTTCACATTGTGGCACCAGCGGAATTTCTCAATGTCATAAACCAGCAGCTGTTCAGATGCAAAGTAGTTCCATCGCCGGATACCTATTTGGGTTAAATGTGACATTCATTTAGCAAACCATTCAGCTGAAATAATTCCTTTTGTGAAAAACATGCTTTGAGCAACATGAAGATGAGTAGATACTGACAATTTTAATTTGAAAGAAATAGTATACAAATCTTTTTTCTTTCAGTGCTTACTTCCTTGAATGCCATCCTTGCACAAGAGAGTCAGCACAAATACATCCACTTCTTTAAAAGGAGACGGCTTCTGTTCACCTAACAGATCTATACAGAGAGGGTGGAGTGAGAAGTCTCTAATTGTAATGAACTCTCTATGAGGGATGGAAATTAGAACCAGCCAACAGCCAAATGCTGGTGTGATTTTGCGCTGTGGTTGGTAAACTAGACCAACGTTGGTAAATAGCCGAGGTGGCGGGTAAATAAAAGTAGCCTGCTGTTTTACCCGGACACGAGAAGTCACACCTTGAGACTTTATCCTATGGAATAAACGGCTGAAGTATTGTAGATCTTGTAGATCACATGCAGTTACACATTGTCGGTTAAAAACAAGAAAGTGGCTGGTAAAAACGTAGAGTGGTGATTGTAGGAGCCATTTCAATGTTTCTGTCCAGGTTTGACCATTAGGTGGCACTAGGGTTATGACATAGCAATTGGGGCTCATCTACTTAGGAGGGTAGCTGTAATCAAGGACAGGTGTTGCCAGAGGGGAAAGGGCAAACTAGTTTTTGACCGCCACCGAGGCTGTGGTTGAATGTTTGTTACGTGACAGTGTTGGTGAAGATGGAATATTGTACCGTTATGGAAAAGGAAATCCTTGTGTAAATCCAATAAATATTTCTCACAACAGAGAAGAAAACACAACTTAAAGCCTTGTTGTATCATTACTGAAGCAAGCCAAAGGGACCACGGTAAGCGCGTCAACTAGCCTACTTCAACCCTCTGCATAACCCTCGGCTGTTTTAAGCTTAGCGGTTACAGTGGTAGATTTTGGAATCCACCAGCCATAGTGGCAGGTGGACAAAAAACTTAATTTCCATCCCTGATGTGAACAGTAAAACATGACATTACATTTATTTCACCCAACAGCCACAAGGCTAATGAATGTTCAATTTCATATATATATAAATTATCATTATATACTGTATTTAATGCAAATTTTAAGCAAATCACATTATAGCACTGAACAGAGATGGTTATTTCTGAATAAATTCACTTACCCATCCTTCCTTCCTTCAATTTGACCCGATACTCTCTTTTTTTTTAAATAGTGTTCATCAGAGTGGTCCAAGACCCTAGGTCTTTTGTCGCACTTGAACCACGAATACACAATTTTTTTTTTAACTGGATTCGAGGAGTTTTGTGGTTGAAATTAAAATAAAGTAACAAATCCTTCCCTCGAGGGTCAATTTGACACCCTTAGAAATGAATGGAATGCGAGGAAAACTTCAGTAAACATAGAAAAAAATGAAAAATTCTCAAAACTCCAACCGAAAATTCTGAAACATTACCACAAAATGATTTTATAATGTCTACATGTGTCTCTGAATGCACACTGAAGAAACAACAAGAAATATCATGTTATATTATTATTTTTCCAGCAGACACCCAATGTAAGATATTTTGAGTTGAATTAAAGTGGTTATGAATGAAATTGTGTGTTATTTTGAATTTAGTGGAAAAATGCTAAAATTATTACTTCTTATTTAATGATAAAATCTAATAATTTAAATGTAAATTAAATAACACAAAATTGCATTAAGGAATAGAAAAAAATATTACCAAAATAAAATAAGGAAAAATATGGAAAAAAGTATAATTTAAGGGCTTCGGGTCATTTTGACCCACGAGGGAAGGATGAGGGTCGCTCTTGGTGATATTAACTTGTATTTCTCACCAGAGCTGTGTGACTGTCTTTGCAGGGTTGAACACAGAGACCCTGCTGTATTCTTCTGTGGTATATCATATGTCAAAATCCTCTGTCCTGTGAAACTGGTACAGAATAGAAATGTGCGTTAGTGTGTGTGAAAGCAAGCCACCATAGTGTGGACAACATATTTACATATTTTTTGCATACAATAACCTGATGTTGGTGATTAAAGAATCTAGAAATATGCATTCTTCTTTAGTGGTGTGGTTGGAGGGCTTTGGGACAAACTTGTTGTCTTCTGCCACACTGAAGGCCGCATTCTTTCCCAGTTTGGAGGACTTGTAGAGGCGAAAGTTCCTGTTCTTGGTGTAGACGCCTTCAAAAGAGAGCAAGGTATTAACATCAGGCATACATTTCTTGTCCTTTATCTTAATAATCTCTAGTAAAAAAGAAGTGTGCTTAATTTATATTGAATATACACTTGTAGTGTACTTCAAATCCTTAAAAATATATTTTCTTAAAAACTCTACTAACTGGACAGGGCCGTAAAAGGGCAACAACCGAGCAGCAGGATTGGTATTTGCTTTGTGTGAGGAGGAACAGAAGGAGCACTGCCAGAGCCCTACAAAATGATCTACGACAGTCTACTGGTGAGCATGTTTCAGAACAAACTGTCTGAAACGGACTCCATGAGGATGGCATGAGGCCAGACATCCTCTAGTGGGACCTATGTTCACAGCCCAGCACCGTGCAACTCGATCGCATTTGCCAGGGAACACCAGAATTGGCAGGTCCGCTATTGGCCCCCCATTCTCTTCACAGATGAGACTGACAGACATGAAAGAGTCTGAAGGAACGTTATGCTGACTTCAACACTATCCAGTAAGACTGGTTTTGTGAAGGTCTCGGAGGGTCGCAGAAAGCTTGACGTGCTCAAGTTGGATCAGCCATTGTGAGTCATTGATGTGATTTTAAATCCAGCCCTCAATTTGTTGATTACTTTGGCTAACATGGACACATCATTTTGATAAATAAAAAAAATTAATAAAATATGGAGATACCCTGACTAGGGTGTATACAACATTTACATTTAATTGTAAATAATATGCAATTAAGTGTCTGCTAACATTACATTTAGTTTGCACTTAAGTGTATTCTTTTAAAGTATATTATTTCCATAATATGTATTCTTTTTTCACAAGAGACCATTTAATGTGTTTAATTTATTTAATCAACAGCAAAGAAGTTGGTGTACAATAGTCCTCTAAAGTCCAGTGTGTCATCGAAACAATGTTTTCAAGACTTTGTAGACTAAAGAACCAACTTTAAATTCTTACCCAGATCAACAAAAAGTTGTTCCTGCCCATTTTTGCTCTTGACTACTAGAAAGCCAAGATCCTTCTCTTCAAACTTTAGTCTCTTGGTCTGAGAACCATCTGCATCATCTCTGGTCTGTTTTGGTGCCTCTGGATTGCTTTAAACCAAATCAAACCAAATCAAATGTTATTACAGAAAGGATGTAGTAACACTGCAAAAACATTTTTAAAAATGAGGCTGTAAGAAAGCTGTTCAAAATAATGACTTTAATTAACAGCCCTTCCAATGTTTGTCATCTCTCACCTTTTTTGAAGGTTGGTTATAACAGGATGTAGGATATCATGAATAAATCGCCCTGCAGACACACACACACAAATTACAATCACAGATTGTGACAAACCATCAATAGTGTCACTCAACAGAGTCACTCAAATCACATGATGATGACATGACATGACATGACAATGACTCACCAACATGGGAGTTGTCTTTGAATGCAGCACTGGGAAGCATGAAGATAAGATGTCGACTAAACTTCTCAGAGGTGCTGGAGTCAAGATTAAGGACGTCTTTTGCAGCGCAGTGTAGACTATAAAACTCCTCTAGCTTCTCACACACATACTGTTATTGCATATTGGGGAAATTACATGTCTAGTTATAAAAACCATTTTAAAACTAGAACAGACAAATCCCCAGACAACTTTTCAAAAGTTTTGGGGTGCCAGAACATTTGTGTGTGTGTGTGTTTGAAAAAAGACTAGCAAATGTTGGAATTAACATTAACAAACATTTGTTTAATCAATTCAAAGCGTCTTTGCTAAATAAAAGTAGGCTGTTACTTTCTTTTTTTTTTTAATCGTTCTGAACCCCAAACTTTTTGGTAGCATACCTGAATTAGTTTTGCCACCATAATCTTTCCGTCCAGGTGCGTGTTGGTGCCTTTGTGAAACTCTAAGTCAAAGTAGAGTTTGCAGACGGCTCCTTCCAGAATGACCTCATAGCAGTGCATCAGAGACTGTCTGTGGGTGCTGAAGAGACACAGATCTCTCAATCACCTACAAGACCTCTAAGTGCATGTACATTAGTGAATATAAACAAATAATGTGCAAAGTAACTATTCTCTAGCAGATTCCTTTCCATGAGTAACTTAACACTGATTTATCATTATATGTCACAGTTACCTGTAATAATGCCAAAGTTCATTGTAGCTGGTCACTAGGAAAATCCTCTGTCCAGCATCACTGCCTTCCTTCTCAAGTGAAAATATGTGCACGTCCTGACAAAGACGCAATAAGAGAAAAACATTTTAAAATCAGCTGATGATAGACTTTACTTGAACGAATATCTAACAGACAGCTAATGTCTAGACCTGTTTTATGTGCTGAATGAAGGCGATGGCTGCGTTCTGCCGTGGGAAGAGTCTCCAGACAGAGGAGGGCTGCCATGGCCGGGATAGACGTGGCTTGTATGGACTGCACAGAGGAGATGACTGAAAGGATGAGGCTCTCTGCTCCAAAGACTTCAGCCTGTCCTGCCACTTTCCCCCCATCATCCTTGCCTCAAAACACTGGGGCAGAGGACAGAGGTCAGGAAAACTGAAGTCAGCTGTGAACAGGTAAAAGTCCAACTGCAAATGTACAGTGAAGGCTTCGGGTACAGCAGATGTAATACTGGTATATTACTGGGCTGGTATATGAATAGTTAAATTATTAACTATCAAGAATGTTGGCCATTTTTTATTCCTAAGTAGACAGAGAAACAAATAAATAAAATTTTACTGTTTATGTAAATGCTTTATGCCAGACACAAAATGTGTTACTAATACACTGTAATCAATAAATAGATAGACAGCCAGACAGGGGATAAAACTGTACAACAAATTAAGGAACATTATAACTTAGATTCATAAATAAGTGCACACACACCTAGTTTGGTTGCTTACTTGTATTCTTGCTTTATAGTCCTTTGTTATTTTGTTTTTTACATGTTGACAGTCTGAAGCACTTCCTCTATCTGGGCACGTACAGTGGGGTTTTTGAGGAACGCGCGTAATTTTGCTCGTCACAGAATGAAGCATTGCGCATGCGCTGGATGCGCCGCGCGCGAAACGGAACTTGTTTAAGATCATGAATATTAATTAAGTTGACATCCCTCATTGTTATTAGAATTTTTTCTCTAGTTGTTTAATTGTTCTATTATTATTATATGTAGATTAGTATCATGTATGTACGTTATCATACTATTATTACGGTTAGGTTTAGTTAAAACGAAAAAAAAAAGTCATGTTCTAATTAATATTCATGAGATCGTCCGTGAATGCCGCCGTGCATGCTGGGATATGTGACGCGACGTCCGCTACAGCGGCTGTGTTGTTGGCGCGTTGTTTTGAACCAAAGATGGAGTTGATACGTGCTCTGCAGTTATTAAAATTAAACAGCGTGTCTTCAGGTATAGTGTCATTTTTTTGCCACAAACATGTATTTGGGAACAATTCATAAATGATTTTTGAGACTCATCGTGTGTATTGTTCTATTAAACCTCAAAGTATGTTGTTGAGCTGCAACTGACACTGTCATCCGGGGGGTTTGTTTTGGTTTCGGCTCAGTTTGTAATATGCGAGAGTGTGTTTTTTAGCGACATATTTTGTTCTGCTATATCCAAACTCACTGTCTTTTCTATCTAACGTTTAACTATCCGTTCAAACAGCCATAGTAAAATTATGTAGCCTAATCATAGTGTAAATCGCATGCTCATTGTCTATTTTAAAAATTAATGAACTGCCTGCATAATGTTTGCGCATCATTAGCCACAGTGTACATATGGTATTGATTTGTTGAAATGTTTCAGACTGGGTGGAATCAGTGTGGGATTTCGAGTTCACCGACACAGATCCTCTTGACCCTGTTATTGAGGAGGAGATAAAGGAAGACCCTGATGTTTTCCAAACGGTCTACATGCAGCTTCTGACCTTCTCCAATGAGGACGCTGACAATACACAGGTATTAACTCAGTGATCACCTCACCAAGGCCTTACACAAATATAGTAGATCCGTTTTATTATTCTCTGCAATGTAATCTACTTATGATTTCTTGATCATGTATTTTTTTCCTGTAGAGTGTCTGGGTGGTGTTTAGTGAGAATGGTGTCTCTGCAAAAACTTTGGTGGCTGTCCTGTCCTACTTCATCCTTAGTGCTAAAGCCAAAAATCCCAGTCTTGAACAGAGACTGTGTGGTCTACAGGCAGCCTCTCTATACTTGTTGCTGCTGAAAATACCAGGTCAGATTTCAACGGATTATTAATATAGCCTAGTTAGGGATGTCAAGGACCTGTCATCCACAACCAAAATAAAAGCAAACATGATGTCAGATCCTTCTATTTTACCTTAACACTGTCAGAATGTTTCATTGGTTTATTTAATCTTTTTGTGTGTGTCCATTGCAGGTAGTGTTGCGAATAAAGTGTTCCATCAGATCCTTTTTGATACCTGTTTGAACATGCCCCTAAAATGCTGGCCTCAAGACTCTGGCAAGAAACGCAAGAAAGATTCTCTGAAATGCTCCCAAAGTGACTCCAAACCTGGAAAGCGATCCAAACCCCCAAAGAAAGCGTCACAAGAGGTATCTTCATTTTTTTATTGTTTGTTTGCATATTATGTGATATTTACAATCATCATTTTAAAAGTTCATCCTACTCTGACACATTCTCCAAAGACTTAGATTCAATCTATCTGTCAATGATGTTGTGTATAATGTGTATATTGTATATTTTTGTGTTTTGTTTCCCAGCAGATGGAGATTGATGATGATGAAGATGACGAAGAAGAGGGGATGTACTTTTCTGCCCAGGATTTGCTGAAACTAAGGGAGGGCATTGTATTACTGGTTCGCACGCTTCTGAGACTCCTAGAGAAAATTTCACTTCGAGACAAACCTCAGAGTGCTGACAGTTGTGTTCAGGTCTGTAAATGATGCGAAATGCGTGTCAGCCTCACCCAGCATTTGTTTGCTTCTTGTGGTAGTTAGGGTTTGGTCTTTTTTTGTTGTTGTTGAGAGAACTCTGTTAAAGAGAAAATGGACCCCTTTGAAGAGTAGATAACGTTCTCAGAGCATATTTGTCTCAGCAGAGAAGTAGTGTTAATGTATATATCTGAGTATGGTTAGAACACTTTCACATGTTGATATTCAAGCCAACATGTTGTGCATTTTGTACAGTTACTCTGAGATTTCTTACATTTATTTTCATTTTTCAGCTTTTCACTGAACTTACCAACTTTGAACCAGTTATTGGAGATCTGTCATTTTCTCAGGAAAGGTAAATGCAAAATTAGAAAGATGAGGAAATGCATTACAGCATTATTTATATATTATTGTATTAATAGTTTTTATTTACAGTTTTCATTAAAAAATTGTTTGTAATTTTTATTCACTTTTTAATATTTCAATTTCAGTTTGTTCTCAAGGCAAGATTTTACAATTGTCTTTGTTGTTTTTTTTTCTTCAAATGTAAGTTTGTCATCTAATGTTTAAAATCGACTGTTTTGTTATTTTTTTCTCCGCTCATGTTTGTTTGAGTAATGAGTGTGTTGCAGATCTGTTTTTTATTGGTTGTTGTCTCCCCTCTACTTTTTTATTTTGTTTTGGTTAAATATAAAAACTGATGCATTTCTTCTTAAAGGACAAGTTTGGTATTTTACACTTAAAATGTTTTAAGATCGTTTCTGATGAAATTGAATCGTTAAGATTGAAATTTGGACACATGCTGCTGGCCAGAGAATTTTCGGTTTCTGTGGTTGGACAAAACTACCATGAAACCTGTTCGAAAGCTACTTTTGCAGTGATTTTTATGTGAGCATAGTAGTGAACACCCCAGACCACTCGGTAAGTTTCTCGTCTTTGTAAACTAAAGTTTAATAAGTTTAAGGAACAATCTTAAAACAGGGCTTTAAGTGTAAAATACCAAACTTGTCCTTTAAAGAGTCTTTTACACAAATACATCTGACTTTATATCAAGCTTTGCAGCCTTCTGTCTGTGTGTGTGTGTGTGTGTTTACAGGAATGTTGACCAATTAGAGAGTCTGCCTGAGCTGTCCTATCATGGACTGGGGCTGCTCTGCTCAACCATTCATGGTGAAGGAGATGAGGTGTGTGGGGTTACTTCAAGAAGACCACTGTATTTTGGTTGCATGAATGCTTGATAATTGTGTGTTGTATTGTTCAGTGCCGTCGCAGAGTGTTCCGCAAGCTACTGTATGTGATTCTGATGATGAAAGCACAGGAGAGATCAAAGCCAAGTCTTCTTGCTCCATCTCAGGCCGTCTGTGGTGCCAGAGACCATGCCATCCTTTTCATTAGGTTAGTGACTCCCATTCCATTTCATATAAGAAAGGGGTTTTTTTTTAAATGACATACAATCTCTAAATGTATTTACTTTGTCCCCCAAGATTTCTTCTGCATTGATACTGAGAGTTGATTCTATCTAAATTATGTGTTCTAGTCATATTGTTGATCAGCAAAGGGAGGCCACATTGCCACTTTTACGGATCATTGTGCAACACATCTGCCATCAGGTATATTTTTATTTAAAAAATTTTTTTTTAAAATAATTTAATTTTTGTCTTTATTTACTCGTAACCCTCATGTCATTCTTTATAGATTTATTATATAGTTATTTTTTTCATGGAACTCAAAATTGTATTTTGATAAGAATCTACATACAGTTGCATATATGACATATTATAGTGACCACAGCTGTTAAGCTTCAAAACAGACAAAAAGCATTATTAAAGAACCATAAAAGTAGTTCATACAACTTGTCTTATATTCCAAATTTTCCAAAGCCACATACAGACATCAGTATTCACTATCAAATCATTTATGCAAGTCATTATGCAGCTCTCAAATCAATTCTAAGAACAACAGCAACTTTCAGTTTTGGGTGAACTAACCTGTGAGGTGTCGCCATTTGTTTTTCAGATGGTGGAGAAGTCTGAATATCGAGCCAGTGGAGCACAGGCTGTTGGGAAGCTTATGGCTAAGATGCCATGCCAAGACTACGCGGCCATTGTTAAGTGGTTGTATAACTACTCCCAAAATAACAAGGTGAATAGTGTGACTATAACCGCCCCTTATTTATGCATAGATTATTTGATATTTGTCAATGCACTGGTATGTTCCTGATTCCTGGAAAAAACCTTCTCTACAGGTGGCATTTAGAATGTTTGCGCTTGATGTTACCATGGTCCTTCTGCAGCAGAGTGAGAGGGACATGGACGACACAGTGGACCCTGAGTTGGCTGTGTTCCTGTCCCACAAGTTCCTGGTCCACAATATAATTTACAATCATCGTAATGACATATCTCCCACGGTCAGAGGTCACGCATTGCACTGCCTGGCACAGTGTCTGGAGCTGGGTTCCCAGAATGCCACAAAATGTGTGCATGAGCTGTTCTCCAATAGTATGTATATTACTACAGTACACTAATTGTTCATCTCAGTGTAAAAATGTTTGTATATGAGGGAATTCTATTCTTTATTTGTAACATGTATTTGAATACTGATTACTCATTCTTTTTTCAGCAGGTGCTCAGACTATGCTGGATTCAGCCCATTCTGAGCGTAAGAATGTATTCTGGTACTTAAAATGATATTAGGTAAAGGGATTTTAATAGTCAATGATGGTTCAATGTGTGTTATGTTTTTCAGAAACAATGAAAGGTCAGAAAACTGCCCTGACCTTCAGAACCATTGAGCTTACAAAGCACAAGAGCATCACTACGACCAACAGGAGCGCTATGAATACTTATTTTCAGAGTAAGTTTAACTCCAATAGACCTTGTCATTTTAAATATTTTTTTACATCTCTATTTCATTGATGATTTTATATATATATATATTTTTTTTTTTTACTTTCAGATGAAGAAACTATGGCTCTATTTAAAAAGCATGTCAGTGATCCAAAAACCAATGCTAGAAAAAGTGCACTGGAGGTATGAAATACATTGTACACTTTGTGACATTTCATCCCTATATTATACTTATTACATTATATTGA